GTTTCTGGCAGTCCTTGGCATTTTGTCTTGTAGACCTTCTCTCCTCTGTCTTCACATGGCATTATTCTCTGGGTGGGTCTCCTTAATTCTCTTCTTATAAGGACATCAGTGATTGGATTTCTAGTCCACCCTAACTCAGTATGACCTCTTTTACCTAATTATATCAGCAAAGACAGTATTTCCAAGTAAGGTGACAATTTGAGGTTCCTGGTGGATATAAATTTTGTGAAGACCCTATTCAACCAAGTACAGCAAGTGTAGGTATTTGTGTATATGTATAATCTCTTACAGAATACTTAATTTAATTGTCTTCTCCATTGTTGATTTCTACTTTTTCTTAAGTGTGTTCAGTATAACAGTGGGTTAATGTGATAGAAATGTTGAAAACTACTGGCCTAAAACAATGTTTTTAAATTCTGTTACTTACTTATTCTCTGCTGCTATTCCTTGAGAATAAAAGATAAGAACAACTTCATTAAGTCTTTTATGGTTTTAGCATTCTAAATTTATAACCAGGCCCAAAAGTTTTTTGTTTACTAAATACATTTGTGCAGAGTGTTATAATGATTATTCCAGTCTTCTAAGAACACAATTTGTTAGGCAAAAGGTTATGAAATACTTGAATAATTTACTGTGAAAAATCCTAGACTTTCACTGGGTTTATTAAAAACTAGATTGAAATTAAACTGTTCTTCCATATCCATTCACCATTACCACCACCACCAAGATGGCACCAAGAAATTAGCTAATATATGTCCCCATATACTGATATCTTTAGGTTGTTTTGTTTATTAATTATGATACAAGTACATAATATTTGCAAAAATTGACTTTGGTAGTGATTTATGATAAAATATCAGGTAAAAGATAATTGCCTCATTTCTGGGCAGTTAATCAGAGCATAGGAATCAGAGTATATTGAATATATTATTTAAAAGATTCACTTGAATTTCTCCATTATACCCTATAAAAGCAAATTGAATGTCTATTGTTATCATCCATAAACATCTTAACTGCTAAGATTTTCTAGGATTGTAATAGAAAACCAATTATTTCAGAAAGTCATTAAGTAACTATTAGAGAAATTAAACAGTGTGAATAAAATGTGAGCGCATGACTTTTGGATTACTGTCTTAGATAAAACTCGTGGTCATTTTGCACTTTTTAGATTAGAAGAAAAAATTTAAACTTTATCCATGACTTCTCTTTTATAAATCAAAACATCTTATAGCTCATCTGTTTATTATTTTAAAAAATTTATGATGGACATATTTGATTATAAGATAAAATATGACACACCATATCTTAACAGAAACTAACTTTTGTAAACCAAAGTTAGAGATTTAGATTGGAGCTCAAGGCAGTGTAAATGTATAACTTATTTTTCTAAAAGCTCTCTTGTAGCCTTCTGTTTAGAGCTTCTTTTGGCTCTTATGCTAAAATGTTCAGTGTTTACTCATTCACTAAACTAGTTCTTTAGTTGCAGTGTATGTTGTGCATGCACTGTACAAAGCGTAGACTGGAATGATAAATCTGACAATGTACATGTATATATTTCTCCATTCAGTGAGTATTTGTTGAGCGTCTGCTGTATGCAAGTTATAGTATCAAGAACTTCTGACACAGGGAAATAAAGCAGACACAGTCTCTGCACTGCCTGTAGTCTAGAAAAGGAGGAAAACAGTCAATGTTTGTACAAATCAGTGTAAAATCATCTCCGTGAAAAATGCTTGAAGGAAAAATGAACGGTGCTCTCAGAGCTTGTAAAGGGATTTGACATGGGCTTTGGAGAGACTTTGTAAGGGCTCAGATGCTTATCGGAGGAGCTGACTTTTGAACTGAGAACCAAATGATTATTGGGAATTATGTGTGTGAGAAAATTCCAGGAAGCAGAAGTGGTATAAACAGGTCTTGCACTGCAATGATTGTGAGTTATGTGAAATGAAAGGAGGCAGCGTGGCTGGCGCTCAGGGAACAAAAGGGAGAGTGATGCAAGATGAGGCCGGAGAGCAGTGGTGGGGCGGGGTAGACCAACCAGGGTCTTTCACATTAAGGGTTGAAGTCTTTTTCTTAAGAGGAGTGGGAAGGCTTTGAGAGATTTTAAACAGTGTGGGGATGGACGGAAAGGGTAAGACAGACTAGATTTGTTTTCCCAAAAGACTGGTGTAGAAGGGACTGGCAGGAAAAAAGTGTGGATGAGGGGAGACCAGTTACAAGGCTATTGGAGTAATCCTGGCACAAAATAACTTGGATTAGGGGAGTGATACTGGAAATGGAGAAAGGTGTAAACCTAAAACCCCACCCTCATTGCTTCCCCCTCCTCTATTATTTAATTTATTTAAAGCTAAATTGTACCATGTGCCTGTAACACGAAGGATCTAGGCTATCCTATTGGGGGATTTTTATTGTTCTCTGAGCAAAAGCTTCCAGTTAGAAATCTAAAGATATGATTTGTTGCCTCACCTGGTACTATCCCACTTCTAAGCATGCTATTTCAAAAGTCCAATGATAATTGTGTTTTGATACTTATTGATAATTGTCTTGATAATTATAAGGTGACAGTACTTGACAATGGCCCATTGCGTCCTTAATTTCTGGGGTCTCCTAGGTGAACCCACAGCTCAGTGGGAAAACTAAGCCTTATCTCTTACTGAAATGTTTCCTTTCCTGCATTTTCTCCTCCTCTTCGTCTTGCTTCTATTAAGATTTTTTTTTAAAGAATGTCATGTAATGATGCTATGTTATATTGGTTTAACAATGATATCTTTATTCCTGTTTTACTTAATAGTTAATTACCTAGATATTGTATTATTATCCTCCTGGGGAAAAAAAGTCTTAGATTATAGGGTCTTATGAGCAGGGTTGTGTTGTCTTCCAAGGAATTTCCTCGTGATTTTCCTCTTGTTCTGCTTTTCAATAAGGTTCATTGGTTGACCCTCTGTTTAGTGTAAAACCTTGTGCAGAATAAGCGAACTTATCAGTGATTTGCAATAACCCTTTACAATAGCCTCATCAGTTACTTATAAAAGTGATTTATGTGCCAAATTAACCTTGGTTAGCTTTATCCTATGATAATGTGTCAATCACCTTTGAAACTTGAAAATATTAGATTTAGTGACACAAATGACAAGCTTTCCAGTTATCTTTAAGCCAACCTGTGAGCCTCTCATTGGTTCAAAAGCTATGTGTTGTCATTCAGTGGGCAGATGGCGGCTCACCTTCTTTATGGCTGAACGTCCTGTGGGGAAGGGGAAACTAAGGGCCATTAGCAATTAAGAGTCCTGAATAGAGGGAAGAGCTAGTTAACTGTGCTTCAGGCTACTGGAATAAAAACTTTGTTTTCCCTAGACCTTACCCAAGCATCATCTCTTTTAAAGAGCCAGTATGGTCTGCCTAAAGGTGTTTCTAACTTGCTAGAAGGGCCTCCTTTAGTGCTGGATCTACTCCTACCTTCCTGGATCCTAGCCCTCCTGATGTGATCTGCTTTAACACTAACTACCTACAGAAACCTGTCTTCCTCCTGACCTTGGTTCACTTCTGTGCCAGCCACCTGACCTGCTTACTACCTGATTTGATATTGGCTATTGTCTGTGCCTTCTGCTCACCCTTGACGTGACAGCCCAGGTCCATCGTTTGTTTCTCAAGTGTAGACTGTTACTTAGCACTCATACACTTCAGGTTTTTCACAGTAATATATATGATATGTCACAGAAAGTAACATCAGGATATGAGATTGGACCTGTTAATTTGAAAGTATCAGTATATCTTAAACATTTCTCAGATAGACTACCTTTAGAACATGTATTAACTGAATTAGTCTCTCTGGAGACTAAAGTTTGTATTTTAAAAGTGGAATAGTTGTCATCAGTTCCTTTCCCTATACTGATCTGGCCAATATTACATACTCAGTTAGGTATTTGTAGTCACCAAATTCCATATTTTATTATTCTCTTGGTCTCACCAGCATAAGCCATTCAGATACTTTTATTTCTGGTTTCTTATTACTATCTAAAGCATTCTTGAATTACTTGCTTTATCTACAAAACGACAGAACATTTTATAGCAGCCATAAATATTCAAAACAAATAATACTCCTATAGAAAAACCGTATGTTTACCATTAAACACTAATTCTAATTGAACCAAATAGCACATTTGGTATTTTTATATTGAATAGTAATAACACGTACAGCAGATTCACTTGTTGATCTTAGAATGCTAAGTTGACTAGCTTTTGTCTATATTAATAAAGTTGAAATTGGTATATTATAGTGCCCGAAAACCTGAATTATTTTGTATATAATATACTGGCATAAATGAAGGTTAAATTTATGTGGCAATAAGCATTAACTTCTTCCTGATGCTCTGAAGTTTTAAAATACTTAAATATGCTTAAAAATTAATATAAAGAATAATTATAAACTTATGCTTATTTTCATGTGTAGTTTGTGTGACCTGTTTTATTATTTTATAATTGTGGCTTCCATGTTGTCAGAAGTTTCAAAAAAATTCTTAAAATATAATAGGATGGCATCTTTGTGTCAAAATTTACTGAAATGATATGTAATACTTATATAAGAGCAACTAATGATGCAGTCATAAGACTTCAGCCCTTTTAAAACCTTCAGTCCTGTGTAATGTCACCCTTACGCAAAAAGAATTTGATGTAAATAGTTTCAACACTGTTGAATTTGTGAATTATTAATTTACAGCAAACATTTACATTGTACTAGTGAATTCATATGAGCATTTCTAACCTGTGGGATATTTGGTTTGCAGGAGAAAATAGAAGTAGAAATTATTTTCATAACTTGAAATGGAATTTCCCACTAATACTGTTTCTTTCACCAATTGTTACCACAACATTCGCTAAAATTAATACTCTTCTGATAATAGATCAAGGCAATTTACATTTAGTTTTCTTTGTCTTTTTGTTTGTTTGTTTGTTTGTTTTGTTTTATCTTATCCCGTCTACTCCCCAATTATTTCATGGCATTTCAGTGCTTCAGAGAATTTAGATGAGTTCTCCTCCTCCAGTAGCTGGTTACTTAACCAGAAGCACAGTAAGAAAAGGAGAAAAGACAGGACAAGATTGAAATCTCCATCCTTGACTATCATGAGTACAGCAGCTCGAACAAGGCCACTTCAGAGTTTCCACAAACGAAAACTCTACAGACTGAGCCCTGCTTTTTATTGGACTCCTCAGGTAAGGTCATCTTTGGGAAAACATAAATAAAGATTTTACTGCCAATATAGTTCACAAATAAGAGGATATGGATTATACACAGTTATTTAGAATAAGTGGGATTTAATAATTTTTTAAGCATAGCAGTGTGTTCTGAAGCTTCACATTTCCATTTTTTAAATGCATTATTATGCTTAAACTAATTTGAAAGAAAATCAGGTATCAAGTTGACTTTAAAATTTTACTGGTAAGGGTAATAAGGAAAATGTAAGTGTATTACATATTTGTCTTTTGCTTAGTAAAGAAAACAGTAAAGAAAATCTGTAGGGCTCTCAGTTATTTTGGAGGAAATGATGTTACTCTCCCTTTTAGATCTGGTATTTGTTAAACTTGGCAAGCACTCCTTTTTCTAGAATATGAGCGTTGTAATTTTAGATGTCCATGCTTACACTTTTTACAAATAAAATATACTTCGTTTAAAGTGTTCACCTTGGAAAGCATATTCTTCACTTATTAGCAACATGTCAGCTATACATCTTTCTGTATAACTAAACAAACTGTGATGGAGGGCAAAATAAGTTGTCTCTAGTTCTCTTTGTATACATGCTTTTTTTCCCTATTGTATTTTAAAATAATACATCAGAGGAGAGAAATTGTCCCTGATTTAAATATTATTTTTGATTATTACTATATTACTGTTTAAAATATATTTCTATAAATATCAAAATGCTTTGTTTCTTTAGAAACCAGTTTTAAATTTGGTTTTATAGAATCCTTTTATAAATAGGAATGTGAATTCTGACAAATTAATTTTTATTAATAGATTGATTTTTGCCATATAGTATTTCAGGTATTATTAGTATGCTCCTCCAACTTGAAATTTTTTAAATTAACCTTTAGTTTAGAATTTTAAGAAATTTTACATAATTAATCAACCTAATAGGAAAATATTTTAGGTAAAGTTTTTATATATGAAATTATATTTTATTTAATGATTTTTACTAAATAAGAAATAGGTAAATAATATTTTTGAAGTTGATTTTATAATTTCATAGTTATAAATAAACTTGTCTATCAAAAATATTTTACATATGAATGAATATGCCTGACTGGAAGGAATATGCTTGAATAGTTTAGGGGATTTGCTCAATGTTCCTAAAATACTATATATGCCTTGAAAATGTAAAGATTGACCTGGAAAAGTGTGAAAAAAATTTAAGACTTTTAGCAAACAAGGGAAGAAACAAGTCTAATATTATTGTTACTAGTGGATCATATAATTTATCATATTCTAGTTATAGTGCTAAGCATTTTCAGTACATTATTTATTTAATTTTCAAACATATAACTATGAGGCATTATTAATCCCACCTTTAGATGCAGAAATTGAGGTTAGATTAAGTAACTTGCCCAAAGCCATATAGCTGGTAAGCAGTAAGTCTGATTCCAAAGCTCATATTTTTACCCATGAGTACATTGAGAACAAAAATAACCCAAATATTTTGTGTGCTTAAAATCAGTAAAGATAGTATATTTGAGGGCTGGGGAAGGGGCTTTGTCAGGTTAGAGATATTAAGAAGATGAGCTTTGAAAGATAAACAGACTTTTGAAAGGGTATGGGGGAAATAAAGAAAGCACGTTAGTAATTGAAACTAAGATAGAAAAATGATGGAGAACAGCAAATGTCCCAAACTTAACCCCCAGATATCTAGGATAATATTTTTTCTTTCTAAATTTAATAAATGTCATTTCTCTTAGGAAGCCATCCTTGATAATCTCCACTATGGGGTATATATTGATGTAGCACCCTGTATTATAATAATCCATTATTTTATAATAAGAATCCTTTCATTTTTCTGTCTTCTCATTACATTATAAGAAATTAGAGAACAGGAATTGTGTATTTCTGAACCTACAGGGCCTTGAACAGTAACTGTTCAATAGTATATGCTCAATAAATTATTATTTAATATGTGAAAAAATTAATGTAGTAGAATATAGGAGGATACTAGGCAATGGAGAGTGAGAACATATGAGTGTGTGTGTGTTTTCTTGATTTGCTTTGTGAAAGGTTCTAGAACAGTCATGTCGAATAGAACTTGGAATGATATGTTCTGTAACTATCTGTGCTGTCCAATGTGGTAGCTACTAAATACATGTAACTATTGAGCACATGAAGTGTAGCTAGTGCAACTGAGGAACTGAATTTTTAATTTACTTCATTTTTATTAATTTTGATTTGAATAGCCACATTTGGACAATGGCTACCAGATTCAATATGACAGATCTAGACTCAAACTTCCTGTGATAGCAGTGGGAACATGTGGCACTCATTCTTGTTTTCTAATACCAAACGGGGATCTTGGGAGAAATGGCTGATTTCCAGGGTTGGGGGAGGGAGGGTAAAAGATGCGGCTGGAATACTTTATTGTTACCAGAAGGCAAGGAAGTGTTAATGATGGGGGCATGTCAAAAAACCCCAGGGGCTGGTTTGAAGAGGCTGCCGCTGGCCAAATCTGGGGCTCTTTGAGAGTCAAAATAATGAAGGACAGTAATGAATGAAAAAATAGGAAGCCACGAATCCATCCTGATGATAGACAGACAGAAAGAGAGAGAGAGATGAAAAGGGGAAGCTGAAGACTTTTCCATAGAGTAGGATACTGATTAATAAATGCGAGTGAGCAGTGAAATTAGAGAATCATTGCAATAGTCATAGTAAAGATTGTTTAGGTAGGAATAATCAGTGGGTGAAAACTCTGAGGTCAGGACTGAGGAAAAGTTTGATGAGGAGCAGGTTATTTATATTGTCATAACTATGTGGTAGAGAACCTACAGTGATCTTCCCTGAGTGATCAAAACTAACATAGGAAGGATACAGTATCACTATGTAGTATTCTGACCAGGGTTGCATAACCTGAATTTAATCATGAGGAAACATCAGACAAAGCCCGAATCAGAGACATGCTGTTAAAAAATGACAACTGGGCTGTATTCTTAAAAAACAAAACAAAACAAAACTCAATGTCATAAAAGCCCAGAAAGGCTGAGAAACTGTTTCAGATTGAGAGACTAAAAGGGTATATGGCAACTGAATGAATATACGATCCAGATCACAATTCTTTTGGCAGGAAAATATTATTGGGACAATTGAGAAAACTGGACTATTGATGGTAGATTATATAAAAATACTGTATCAATGTTGAATTTCCTGAGTGTGATGTTTTGCAGTTATGTAAGAAAATACCCTAATTTTAGGAAATACAGATTGAAATATTAAGTGGTAAAATGGCTAAGGCATCCATTTTATGCAATAAATTAATTCCTGTGCATCTAGAATGGTATTAGCTTTGTAGCATCCATTATTTTCTCTAGTGCTTAACTCCCTGATAGAGTACTGGTTTGGAACAGCTTGTACAAGGGCAATGGAGAGAGGTGGGAGTCTCCCACTACTAGGTAGCATATAGTAGACAGCTCACTGACCATCATTCTCATTGCAGCAAACATGTGTACAGATTACCAAAAAAAAAAAAGTCATCATACTATTAAAGACATTAGCAGAACTTCTGGTTTCAGCTCCATTATGTAAAGAGCTTACAAGTTGTCCCTGCTTACAACAATAAAAATGTGAACAAACTGAAAATCAGTGCCTTTTCACGAACCCATCAGAGAACTGAGGTTTCAGGGCAAACTGCCACCATGAAATACGGAGAGACAGGCAGATCCAGAGAGTCACAGCCAAGATCTGCTTCCCTGGAGCAGAAGCTGTGACAATTATAAACTAACTGATAGGGACATTTAAATGGTAATTCTGATGAACTGCTTGATACTGAGTGTGGACTAGCTTGAGAGTGGAGAACTCCTGGGGATCACAGACTTAGGAAGCTCTACCCCTTCACATTTTCATGGACTTTATTTACCTCCAGGCACCCCTCATCTCACAGTGAGGAGCCAAGAAGGGTCCCTAGTGGCTCTGGCATGGAAGGGAAAGGGTAACCTTACGAAATAAGCCCAGAGCATTGTCTGTTTTAAGGCTTACTCTTCAGAAGACAAAAGCAAAAAATAACTTTACCAGAGCCTTGTCCACCTGAGACAGAAGCAGTTCTGCCCTATAGCCTTCTGTCTCACTTGTTAAAGTCACAGATCAGGGACACAGACCACCAAAAAACAGATTTAATCAGTAGGTTACGCTACTACAGTAAATACCCTTTCTCTCCCCCATACTTTACCACCACGCTAGCAGGACTCCAGTCCAGTAACAGTAGGTTACAGCTGCAAGATGTAGACTTTCTCTGAAGAGAAGTACTTAACAGGGGAGACAAAAACAAGGACACTAGAGGAATTTGGAATCTGGCACCTTTATTAACTAGAGCTGACATTAAACACAGTCCCACTCAAACTCTTAGATTAACTTAACACCTCACAATAGAGGCCTGTTTACCTCAGGTTCTAAGACATCTGTTCAGCTTTCAACAGAAAATTACAGGGCATGTTAAGAAAAACAAAGTCTGCAGAGACAAAGAAGTCATCAGAACCGGGCTCAAATACGGCAAAGATGTTGGAATTCTCTTAAATAACTAATATGCTAACATCTTTTATGGATAAAGTAGAAAACATGCAGGAACAGATGGGTAATGTAAGCAGAGAGATGGAAATTCTTAAGAGCCAAAAGTGAATGCTGGAAATCAGAAACACTGTAACCTAAATGAAGCATGCTTTTCGTGGGCTCGTAAGTAGACTGGACATGGCTGAGGAAAGAACCAGCAAGTGTAGGTAGGTCAGTAGAAATTTTACAAACTGAAATGCAAGAGAAAAAGGAATGAATAAAACAGAACAGCACATCCAAGAATCTGGGGACAATTTCAGAGGCAATTTCAGATGGTGTATCAGATGTGTGACTGGAATATCAAGAGGAGAAAGAGAACAGAGCAGAAAAAAATATTTGAGGCAATGATACATGAGAATTTTCCAACGTATTGACTCATTAGACAAGCACCAAAGCATAAATTCAGGAAACTCAAGCA